TACAAGGCCGAATTTGATGTGGAGTTTCCGAGCCCGTAGAGACTCTACCATTCGACGTAGCCTCGTTTGGGGATCCTGTCTGTCCGGAGGCAGAGAGTTTGACCAGCACATCTGGAGGTGAATCTCCGACTGCAGGATATTTGCCAACTGCCCCGCGTGGTCACATGTGGCACAACGCCGAATTTAACGTGGGGTTTTCGAGCCCGTAGGCTAGGGCAAAAATTCCCCGTAGAACCCGTAAAAAACGGGGTCGGGTAACTGTCTACCACCCTAGACGAGACTCTGCCCTTCGGCATAGACTCGTCTGGGTTCCTCTTTGACCGAAGGCCGAGAGTTCGACTAGCACAGCTGGAGAAGATTCTCCGACTGCAGACAAACATACAGTATTTACTACTGTATTTATGTGAATGGTGGCATACGCATTATCATCTGTAGGTATGCTACAACAGTTATTCTCATAGACTACGTGATGAAATTGAAAGAGTTCAAATTACAATTCAGCTATTTGTCCTTAGAAAATCGTTTTCCAGGACAAACTTTGAAAGATGCCCTTTATAATATCCCACAAGCCAGTTTATCTATTCATTAACTTTGGGGTGAATTTTTAAGAATAGTTAATGGAACTTCTCAAACTGAAATATACGCAAAAGAAATTATTTTCCCAAGTAGGCATCTACGCGGACGACACTACAATTTACTCCTGCCCCAAAACAAATCTAGTGTCGCTGACAAAACTAACCTGGCCGTTCGTTTCGAAAAGGACCTCCAATCGGTTGTGAACTGGGGCAGGAACTGGCTGGTTAACTTTAACGCCTTAAAAACAGAACTGCTCTCTATTAATCACCATAGAGATCCTTCCCTGCCCACCATTAGAATGTCTGACGCTCAACTTCTCGAGAGCAACTCTCTGCGGCTGCTCGGTCTCACATTGACTGCTGACCTGAGATGGAACAAATACATTAAGTCAATTGCCTCGTCCACCGAAAGGAAAGTTGGCTCCCTGTACCGCGCCAGGAAATCGATCCTTCAAATCTACAAATCAACCATTCGCCCTTGCATGGAGTATTGCTGCCATATATGGTCTGGAGCCCCTTCTGTTTGTCTCGGGGTTCTTGATAAGATCCAGAGATGGATATGCAATATAATTGGCCCTGATCTGGCATCTCGTCTGCAGTCGCTCTCTCATAGATGTGCCGTCGCCTCTCTCTGTCTTTTTTTACAAATACTTTCATGGTAATTGCTCCGATGAGCTGCTTTCGCTGGTTCCCAGACTTCATGAATTCAAGCGTCCTACGAGGCTGGCATCCTGCTCTCACCCTTTCACTGTTGAAACTGTTAAATGTAGCCGTCTCTTCTGCTCTAATAGCTTTATATCTCGCCCCTCTCGCCTGTGGAACTCGCTTCCCTTTTCCTGTTTCTCTAATAGCTATAATCTCCAACTATTCAAATGCAATGTCAATCGACATCTCCAGTTGTCTTGATCTATCCACTATCCTTCTCCTCAACTTTTCCTCTATCACTCCTATGTTCCGGCTCCAAATCCTCTGTAACCCCTTGCATCCTAGTGGCTTCTTGCCTTGCTTGGGGTGAGATGCTAAAAAAAAAAAAAAAAAAAAAAAAAAAAAAAAAAAGATGAGGTGCTGCCGTATTTTCTACCCGTGTTGATGACAACTGGAAGTTTACATTTCCTTCTAACAAGATGAAACAAAAACCATGAAGAGAAAATATGAGCTGACGGCCTGGTGGATTCTTCTGAATGAGGTAAAATTTAGATATCTGGGAAGTATTCTAACAGGGTAAGGAAAGTGTGGCACTGAGATCCGAAGTTGCATTGGTGTGGCCAATTATACAAACCAAAAGTTAAGCAGAGACAGAAAAACTTCGTTAGCAACGAAGAAAAGAGTACTGAACTTATACGTGATATCTGTCCTCCTATATGAAAGTGAATGCTAGACAGTCACATCAAAAAATGAATACGAGACTTGAAACAATTAGTGATGTTGTTCTACAGAAAGATGCTGAGGATACCATGGACTGAACATGTGAGGAACGACGTAGTTTTATAGAAAATGGAAACAAAAAGGAACTTATATTTAATATCAACAAGAGGCAGTTGAAATTTCTGGGGCACATAATGAAGAAGGAGGGCTTGGAAAATATGATACTCACAGGACAGATGGAGGGGAAAGAGGAAAGCAGCGTGTGAAATACTTGATGGGCTTAAGTAAATGGATGGGAAAACGATGGGAGGGCCATGATCGCTTACGTTCTGAAGGGACAAATTGTTGACCTCCCGTTTCCATACTGCTAAGATCCATCCCTGTTGTCGACATCTACATACTTCTTAGGTTAAAACAATATTTCCCGTTCCTCCCAAGTTGCAACCGATTTGACTTCATTGGACAATTTAAGCTGTTTTCCGTCCAATATTTATTTATTGAGAAGAAAAGGTTTTACAGCGTTTTACTCTGGACATCTGTTTCTCGTCTCTGTACTCGTCCATATCAACCCAAGATGCCTTCCAGAAGCTAAGCAGAGTATTAAGAAACGGAAAAAAAAAGAAAGAAAAGAGTGCTGAACTGTTATGTAATATCAACCCTTCTCTAGGGCAAATCCTGGACAATCCTCATCGTTCAAAAGCAGGCTTAAGACAACAGAAAGTATATCTAGAGGATTGATATAGAGTTCGACATTTTTAGTAGCATTCTCTAGATGTTGTAGGTGAACGATGGCATTGAGAATTGTGTCTGCAGTGATAGCTTGGTCATCTGCATAGTCAATATTTGTCAACGTTTTTGCAGGATACTGTCTTGAGAGTCTTGGGTATAAATTAAAAACGAGATGATGATGTTTGTCGATGGAAATTCTCAACACGTACTAAAGGGTGATAACAAAGGGTAAAGGTGCAAGGGTGTCACCCTGGAGGACCTCTGATCTGATGTCGAAGAAGGTAGTGTCTCCGTCTGGGGATCTAACCAAATATTTGGATTTTTTATCTAGTATCATTATAGCAGTTACTGTCTCGAGGGAATGCTATGTGCCATAGGCCAGAAGGACGCTACACGCAAGTCACTCATCTGCCACTGGGTAGCATGCCACTGGCGTTAACCGCCGATCGCCCACTGTCGGACCGCCAGCGTTTTCCTCTCGGCAATGTTACTACTGGCGTACCGCTAAAGTCCGCACGTGGCTGCCACAAGAGGACCGCTGGAGTTACCCGCGGACCAATAGCGGCTTGCGTGTAGGGGATTTTCTCCACTTTTCCCGTATGTACAGAACCGAAAGCTTTAGAGAAATCTACTAAAAGTAAGGTGGTCTGTAGCTCCCTTGCCTTGATGCCCTCCATAATCCGTTATACAGTCAGGATTTGTCCAACAGTTAATCTTTTTTTCTTTTTTTTTTTTTTCGATTCGTGTGAAATAAAAATGAAATACTATTCGGTATGGGTGTGGAAAATTTCAGATTTTTCGACGGTTATTACAATCGGACAAATAAAACTTGCGGCAGACATATCACGTGACCGTTTCTCTCGCACATTGTTTTCTGGGTTTTAATTCACGGTCGCTTCTTGGATCTGAACGCAAGCCAATTGCGTAATTGTGCCTGACTACCTATTTTCAAAGACAATATAATTTCCCAAGCGTTCACGAAGAAAAATTCGTGAATCACCTGTTCTCAATAGGCGAAGTGTTTGAGTGGTTGCAACGAAGAAAAGGCAGATATTGGAATGCAGTAAGTTGGATTGCACCGTCTAGTCTTGACAAAAACGTTTGGAATTTCAAGCGATGTTTGCAGCATTTGTTGGCAAAAGACCCATACAGAATCTGATTTTTTTTTTATATCTATGTTGAAATGTAAATAAGAAAGGCCAAATACCTCTACCGCCATTATAGATGTAAAGATGATGGAAGACCTATTTTTAATCATTATATATACATACACAAAATTGAATTCTCTGGGGCGTAATATTCTACAGCAAGCAGAACCAATTCTTAACAGAGCTTCTGTACTGTTGGCGTCTTAACAGATCCTGATATCACTAAGCTGCTGTCGCACACACACACACACACACATACACACACACAAAAACATACCCTAGCTGGCAGAATATATATATATATATATATATATATATATATATATATTGATGTGAAAATAATTCTACATACTGTAAGGGATTCTAATACATTTACTTGTTCTTAAAAGAAATATAGTATATTAAAAATTAAAAGTGAAAATATTTTTCAAATAGTAGTTAAACAAAACGTATTCTAACCTAAACACCCAACCAAAAAATCATTAAATATACAAATAAAAAATTTCAGTAAGAATTTTTGCCGTTTACAATAAATTTAAAAAAAAAATCCGGAAGACATGCATTTAACGGATGTCAGAATTCATTGAAAAATACATCCCTACCCCTACCAAAACGTAACTAATAACTGATACATCAAAATACAGCGATAATGAACAGGCAAACACCTCTTGGCTGGTTGAATTGGATTTCTCTGTATCCTTGGAAACGCGAATTATGATTTTTGCTGTGTCTTTAAAACCCAGTAATTTTAAAAGTTACTCCAAAATTCGCTTTACGATGAAATGGAACTAATGTCTTTAATTTAATTACAAAATTAAATTCGGAGCTTTCAGCTTCCATTTTTGAAACATGGTTAGAATTGTGTAGCGAAAAAAAACCATATTCTAAATCGATTAATTTATAATATTATAAATATAATTTAAATTTACATTGAACACTATTTTGTAAAAATATATATATATATATATATATATATATATATATATATATATATATATATATATATGTGTGTGTGTGTGTGTGTGTCAATGAATATTATAGACACATTGTGTTTATTTTTATACTGATCATTTGCCGTCCTCTAATAAGATTTTTGATGGTAAATTCATCAAGGAAGGCGAAGAAAGAAAAGAAAGATGGCAAACTGAAACAATGATAACGAAAGAAAGAAAGGAAGAAAAACCGATAAAGAAAATTGAGAAGAAAGACAAAAAGAAAGAAAGAATGATAATGAAAAAAAGGTGAGGAAAGAAAAGGAAGACAGAAAAAAGAAAGAATGACAAATACAGAACGAAAGAAAGAAAGAACGATGAAGAAAGAAAGAAAGAAAGAAAGAAAGAAGTAAAGAAGGAAAGAAAGAACGATGAAGAAAGAAAGAACAAAAGAAATAAAGAAAGAAAGAAAGAACGAAGGAACGATAAAGAAAAAGTGAGAAGACAAAGAGAAAGAAATATAAGGAAAAAAGGGTGAAGAAAAAATAAAGAGGAGTAAAGAATGAACGATAAAGAAAGAAAGAAACAAAAATCCAACCAACAAACAAAGAACGATAAAGAAAAATGTTAACAGAAAGACAAAAAAGAAAGAAAGAATAAAAATGAAAAGAGGATAAAGAAAGAAACGAAAGAGAGAAAAAGAAATAATGATGAAGATAGAAAGAAAGAATAAGGAAGAAAAACTGAGAGAAAAGCCTAAAAGAAAGAATGAAAGTCTGATAATAAAAACGAGAAGAAAGAAAAGAAGGAAAGAAAAGAAAAAGGAAAGAAAAGACGAAGGAAAGAAAGAGCAACAAAGAAAGAACGATAAGGAAAGAAATAAATATAAATAAAGCAGTGAAAAGAAAGACCAAAAGAAAGAAAAAAGAATTATCATTCTGTATCATTCATGAAAGTGTGAAGAAAGGAACCCAAAAAAAAGGAAAGAAAAAGAATGATAAAGAAAGAACAAAGAAAGAATGATAAAGAAATGAGAGAAAGGATAGAAAAAAGTGAGATAAATTAAAGCCAGATAAAACGAAAAACAAAAGAAAGAAATTTAAAGAAATACGTGGAAAGAATGAAAAAAAAAAAAAAAACAAGACAAAGAAAAGAGTGAAAAAAATACTGAACCCAGAAAGGAAGAAACAAACAAACGAAATATTAAAAAGAAAGAAAGAATGAAAGAAAAGTAAAGAGTGTGTAGAAAGAAAGAAAGAACAAGTAAAAAAAAAAGAAAACAAAAAACAAATAAGAATAAAGAATGAACAAAATGTATGATAAAAGAATAAAGGAAAGAAAGCAAAAAAAATTATTAGTGAGAAGAAAGAAAGACATAAATAAATGGAGAAAAGAACGAAAGAAAAATGTTAAAAAAGAAAGAAAGAAAGAAAGAAAAAAAGAAAGAAAGAAAAAAGAAGAAAGAAAGAAAGAAAAAAGAAAGACAGAAAGAAAGAAAGAAAGAAGAGTATTGTCGCATTGATGCATGGGAGCGTGATATATACGAAAGAATAAGAAACGCCATCGACCGGATATCCGTTTCAACTGCATCCATAGGAATCATTAACCACCACAATCCCACCTCCCAGGTGGCTTCACGCGCCAGTGGTAGTTTTTTATTTTTTTTATTAGCCATCACAAATGACGTCATAATCCGCCAAACAACCATTCTTCCATTGTTGCCCAGCTTTTAACCGAACAGGTGAACTGGTGAGATTTCTTCTTTTTTTATTATTAAATTCCTTTATGATGGGATGAAAGCGTTAGGTTTTTCTTGAATCAAAATTTTAAAAGGTTGTCCGTTCAGTCAACCATATTAATGGCTGCCTCGCTTTCGCCATTTTTATGTCCAGTTTTGCACCATTTCTGAGTTTCTCTCTCTTTCTCTATCTATATATATATATATATATATATATATATATATATATATATATATATATATATATTGTTAAATATAACAGACAATGAATGCCTATTATGTTTGATCATGGACCGCTGTATGCTTCAGTTTCAGAAGAAAATGAAGGCAAAATCTGTCCAGCATTTGCATATTTTTATTATGCAGTATAATAAAATATCCAAATGTTGGAAAGTTTTTTGATATATATATATATATATATATATATATATATATATATATATATATATATATATATTCATAGATGTTTCATTAAATTATATAGACAAGTGTTTTCTATTTATTTTATGTAAATTCTTTTCATAACATCTGATAAGCTTAATAACATTATCATTAAACGAAGAAAGAAAATCACAATATTGATCCATATTTTTTAATCCAATCTAAGTTTTCGGCTTACATAAGCCATTATCGAAGTTTTCAATTACTGTACACCATATTAAGCAATATACGGACAAGACAGTGATGATAGTCTGTTTGCTTGGATGATTTCCTAGTAACGATAAAAACGTGCATATAGGACGCTAGAAGCGAAAATCGCACCTCAGCTCATGACGTCACACATGACCACGCGAGAATGAATTCGAGAAATATTAAGTATTAAGTATGGGAAGCCGTTAATATAAACCAATAGCTTCTGTTACTAATTATAGATATTTAAGGATATTTGTAGAGATGCCATAGTTGATTTTGTTTAGGTTGGGTTTCAACTGTTTGATGTATATTGCTTCAAGGATTTTAAGTTTTTGTCTATTGTTTTCAAAAGCATAATTGTGTTTTCGACGAGGATTTTACGGAATTGATAATGCGGCCTGGCATGTTGTTTTAAATGCCTAAAAATGTTAGAGTTATCATTCAAATGTAGTGTCAAGCGTCGGGAAAGCGATTTTGTGGTGTGACCAACATAAATATTGTTTAATTCGTTGAAGATACAATCTCCCAAAGGGCATCTGAATTTATAAACTATGTTAGTTTTTTGCAAATCTCTAACCGGGGGAGAAGAGTCATTGCGAAGAATTAAGTTGGATATACTAGATTTAGTGTAGTATATGTTTATACATATGTTTTTATATATATATATATATATATATATATATATATATATATATATATATATTTGGTTGGATAGATGTGAGTTTGTGACCCTGCGTTTCACGCTTTAGCGATCGTCAGACAAACTGATTAATGTTTTAAAAAATTTGGATTTATGTAAATTGCGTGTATTGGTGTTATTGTGGAAGTGGTGGGGGAAATTTCGTCGTTTTGTCATTCATCGTACTAACGCAAACATCGATATATATGCAGACACATATACATACTTAGTCGTCCGTCGGGACTCATACATATGTGGGCAATTTTCACACATATATATATATATTTCACACACACACACACACACACACACACACACACACACACACACACATATATATATATATATATCTATATATATTTCACGTATATATATATATATATATATATTTCACATATATATATATATTTCACACACACACACACATATATATATATATGTGTGTGTGTGTGTGTGTGTGTGCGTGAGACAGAGAGGGAGAGAGAGGTGAACATTGAGATTATGCCAAGAATGATATCACAAAGAGCAATAAAAAAAAAGCAGATGGATGTATCCCTATGTTTTACAGATTATGCAAAAGTGTTTGATAAAGTACACCTCAAAGAACAGTCGGAGGTGCTATGTAAGCTTGATTTATATGGGAAGGATATTAGAATATTCAAGAACCTATATTGGGAGAAAACCGCCTGCATTCGGATGGTAAATGCATTCAGCAAATATAAGCAAATCGAAATACCCAAATACCTTTTTTATTTGTAAATAGTGAGTACATTTTGGGGACAAGTAATATCTATCACGACACCCTACACGTACGCACATCTGCGCAGACGGGCGCAAGACCGGGCAAACTTGCACTAATGATAAGCGCATATAAATACAAAAGTCGAAAAGTATAAGCATTCAATAGAAGATACCCACTTACCAGTGGACGGTGGGGTCGTCTATAAAAATCTGGAGTTGAGATGCTGAATGTAACATCAATTCGTAAAGTGACAAAACCTTTACTTAAGCGTTTAATAAAGTGCAACTACTTTCACGATACAAGAGCTGAAGACTTAAGCCAAAAAAGTGCTCAACAGCGGAGGATAACCAAATTCACTTCAGAGCATTTATTTCAGGGTTTATCTGAGTAGCTCTGAATAGAGTCAGCTCCCAAAAAAGCCTTCTGGCAAAAAAAAAAAAAAATCCTCTTTAAAAGAGCAACTTTATGCCAAGCCGTTTTCAGAGCCTCTCCTTTGATATATATAAATATATATATATATATATATATATATATATATATATATATATATATATATATATATATATATATATATATATATATATATATATATATATATATATATATATATATATATATATATATATAATATATATATATATATATATATATATGTATAGGCAGCATATTTTCACTCAAGCAGGTTTAGTTAAATAATTTAGATTTCAGTTTTAATCCTTTCATATCCACGAATTAATTTTTTCGTGGCTGCAGAAAATTGAATAATTAAAATGCCAAAATTTTCTTTCAAATGATTTGTATTACCCAACTAGTTTCAATCTTATCTGAGACTATCTTCTGGGTGTTAAAATATCTGTGTATGTGTATACGATATCACCGTAAATTTAAAATATTTTCTACTGTTCATTTACACAGCCTCAATTTCAAAATTTTCAGTTATGTAAAGGACGTAACTACTGTATTCTTTTTTTAAATATAAAAAAAGACTTTTTCAATTATAATATTTTAACTTATTATTTTTATATAAAACTTAACTGCTACAAACATTAAAGAACTTTATTGATATGTGTGTGTGTGAATATAGCAACAATGTTTTAAAATGACAATTACAGCAATGTTTTTAAAATTATAATTATATAAAGAAATTATAATTATATAAAGAAATTATAATTATATAAATTAAAGTAACAAAACATGAAAAAAGACAATATCTTTAAAATGTGTTTTTAAAATTAACTATAATAGAGCACGTTCATGCGTATTTATAAAATAATCACAATTATTAATTAGATTATTTTTCGTTTTAGCAATTCACCCCTGAATTGGATGAGATTGAAAGCATTTTGGAAAAGAAAAGAAAAGAAAAAAACTATAGCGCTTTCCTTAACGAATATATGGATGGATAGATAGTTTCTTCCATAGAGAATGACGGGTAAATGTGCAGTAAATTCTAACTTTTCACTGAGCAACCGTCATAAGTGAATTGTTTAAAGTGGTCACTTGCTTTGCATTGGACACTCTCCGCATCATACCACCATATCCTGTACTGGGCAAAGTTATGCCACATGTCAGATGATGCTACAAACACCGGCTTTGGGGATAGCATTTTTCATCTCGTAGCTGCATGTTAGCCGCTGTTCCTATAAAAAGCTCATTCGCCCATTTTCAGTCCTATCTTGCCTGGTTTGAAAACGTTTTACTTCTTCTAGACTGGTTGTTAACCAAGGCTATATGATCTAATTTTTCCTGTTGTTTACACATAGCTAAGATGGATTAATAACTTCACCAAAGATATTTGCGCGTAAGTAAACGTAAGTTTTTTTTTTGTTTTTACAATGAGGTTGCTTGGACCTTGTACAGGGTGAACCTCGAGGTAAATGATTACAGAGTAAGATTCGCAGTTTATAAGGATAAGTGACTTGAACAGGTTAAGATTGTAGTTCTCACTACTACAGCGCGGTCGAATGAAGGTAGTTTGCTACAAAGTGAGGTACGGAGTACCCTAGCCGTGAAGGTTATAAATGGTAGTACCAAGAAATGCAGTTCATCCGAGCACTTTTCATAAGCGTGGCGATAGAGCAGTGATAGACTTCATACATTCTATCTCTCAAAGGAGTGTGGCTGGGCGGAAAATAATGTGTCACCCAGAAGGATGCAGGGACACCTTTGAACTCGATCGAGACGCGGAACTGAGAACGGAGTACCTCCCGCCCAAATATGAACACAGTAGGCCTTACCTTGTCTTTGTAAAGTTAGAGTACACCATGAGAAGTCAGGTACTTAATGAAGCGGTAAGGGCAACAAACTATTTCCTGCGTCTTTAGCGATGGATTGTATGTTCCACTTGGGGTCTGAATTGAGTTTAGGGCCCAATAGTCTCTCAAGGTACGAAGCCTCAGCTCGGTGGCATCCATTTACTGTGACTGGTGGTATTTTGTGGTCCGATCGACGATGATGGAATGTAACTAGTTTTGTTTTCGGGGCATTGAATGTAACCAGCCAGTTTTTATTCTCCTGAATCGAATGAAAGATCAGCTGCCAATATCTGGTCATCACGAATTTTGAAGGTACACCCATATATCTTTGTATTATCGGCATAGATATTCACAAATGACATGATTATACTCTTAGGCAGATTATTTAAGTAAAATAAAAAGACTTTAAAACAAAAAAGAAAAATCGTATTGGATTCGAGCTCTGCTCTCCAATATTTCATTCCGAGCAGTTATCTATTACAACACCGCACACCCGCGTAATTGTACACCGGAATCGTCTTATATGTTCATTAAAAAGGTACTCTTG